CGAGAAAAGCTGCTCCAGGTGCCCCTGGTCTGCTGGGGACCGTCTCCAGCAGACCAGGGACACCTGGAGCAAAGCCGGGGAGGCGCGGCACCCCGCCGCCGCTTTGCTCCCCGTGTCTTTGGTCTGCTGGGGAGGGGGCGCGCAGCTAGTGCCCCCCTTCCCCAGCAGACCAGGCTTTTGTTGTGGACCCTGGGGTAGAGCAGCTGGGGGGCAGCCGGGTTGGTCCTGCAGGGACCTACCTGGCAGCCCAGTTGTTCTGTCCCAGGCTCGAGATTCAGCCGCTGTTGAAACTGATCAGTGGCTGATTCCAGGAAGCTGGGGGCAGAGCAACTCTGCCTCCAGCTTCCTGTAGTCAGCCCCTGGTCAGTTTCAGCAGCAGCGGCTGAAACTGGAGCCAGTTCTGACTTACATACAAATTCAACTTAAGAACAAACCTATAGTCCCTATCTTGTACGTAACCCGGGGACTGCCTGTACTTCAGTAGTGCTTGAGAATAGAACAGTGCTTCTGATTTCTGTGCAATTTGCTTCTAATAATATTCAAGTAATTAGTTTTGACATGTGAAAAGGTCACGTACTTTATTTTGTTTTTGCTGAAAATGATTTTGCATAGTTTAAAAATGAGCAGTGAGATTTCATTAGAGTTATCAATTTAAAAATGAAGTCACTCCTTGCTGTCAGAGCCTTCCACTGCTTCTAGTGTAATTGACAGGGAAAGGCTCTGAAAGTGGGGACTCTACGCTGCTTTGATGTGTAGAGGGGCGCACAGGATATGTATGCCCAAGGGTTCAGGCTTGCCTCTTCTCTATTTGCCTCATCTGCACTGTTTTCTGTTCTAGGGCTAGGTGTATCTGTACTCTACAGGCCACTGAGCGTCATTCTTATAGTAGAGTGGGTTCACAGATCCACCTTTTTGAAAGTGTCCTGTCAGAGTGTTAAGTGTCAGTGCAGGTTGTACAACTATGAAGAACTTATAATGTTTGAGAGTGGATAATTAAAACATGCAGTACTGGGAAAAGGATACAAGCTACTTTATTTTTTTTAATCCTCTTCCCATTTACTTCAGTGATACAGGGTCAGTGAGGAAAATCAGTGTGGTCTGTTCAAAATGCTCCTTTTTTTGTAGTGCATATAGAAAACTGAAGCAGGGTGCTGTTTTGTGATCATTGCTCTTGCTTGGCAAAGAGTAGTAGTGCACGGCCTATTCCTTCTGTAACCCCATTTCTCCTGGCCTTCCCCTCAGCCCACTTGGCTCAGCTATGTGTCAATCCCTGTCCCAGAGAGCTTACAAATTAAAGACATAATAATCATTTACTATTTGTTTCTTATGGGGGACGAGGGGCTGAAGATTGTACCACAATGTAAATATTGGAAAAAAATATAGATGTGTATTAGAAAATGCTTTCTCCTCAAAATCATGACCTGTGATTATATCCAGTTTAGTCACATTTCACAAAGATGTTAAGTTTCAGAAAGATTTGAATCAAAATGGAATATTTAGTTCCATCTGTCTTGGTTCTGCGTAATTCCAACTCAATTGGTGTTGTTCAACATCAAAGAGGTAGAAGCCGAGCATGCCTGTGAACTCTTCTTAGAAAAATTTCATACTTTCATAAAGCACCATAAATAATGAAAACTAAATTACACATATAATATGAACAAAGTAGATGGTAGTTATGCATTAACTTTTTATTTTGCTTTTGCTCAATGGGGGCAAGGTCACTAGTTGGCAATCTAGGCCAGAACCTGAGCCAGTCTGTTTCTATCCCTACCTGAGAGACTAATGTAGGGACTCATTTCACTTATGCCTGTTTTACACTCTTGCTAAATGAGACCCTAGAACAGGAAGGCTGTGTCTAAACTGGCCAGTTTTTCCGGAAAATCAACTGCTTTTCCGGAAAAACTTGCCAGCTGTCTACACTGGCCACTTGAATTTCTGCAAAAGCACTGACTTCCTACTGTAAGAAATCAGTGCTTTTTGTGGAAATACTATTCTGCTCCCGTTCAGACAAAAGTCCCTTTTGCGCAAAGTTTTTGCGCAAAAGGGCCAGTGTAGACAGCTCAGATTTGTTTTCCGCAAAAAAGCCCCTATCGCGAAAATGGCGATCAGGGCTTTTTTGCGGAAAAGTGCGTCTAGATTGGCACGGACGCTTTTCCACAAAAAGTGCATTTCCCGAAAATCATGCCAATCTAGATGCAGCCAAAATCTTTAGCTTTACTAGGATTAATTGAGTAAAGACCTGGCAGGGGATGCTTTATAAGTACTTACATGAATAAAGTTGTCCAGGATTTTACCATTATGTCACAGTGAATGTCACTGTTTCCTGAAATAATAGCTTCATTTTCCCCTAGCACTGCCTCTACACACAAAGCAATGTGGGGTCCCTACTTCCACAGGCTTTCCCTGCCACTGACTCTAGAAGGCTCCGACAGCATGAGGAAAATGATTCACTTACTTTTAATACATCTTCAGTAAAAATGTAGATGAACAGTACTGTACAAATACAGCTCATAATTTTCAAATCGAAGTAGCCACATATCTACTACATTAAAGACACCATTGATGATTGTTGTGGAGAGGGAGAGAAAAACAGACTGGAAAATAATGGGTTGTTTTTGAAGGATGAACTACAGTTAAATATTTTACAGTATTAACATTGTAACTCTAGTAAATACACTTGCTGAAACTGGTCCAGTTGTTGCATCTTTGTAATTGAGGTTATGGATTTGATACTGTGGGGACTTTCTTTTAGTCAGTTTTTTGTTTGAACCACATTCTATATCTTGAAGTCTTTGTAAAGAGAAATGTTTCCCAGTTACTTACATCAGTTGGCCAACCTCCAAAAATACCTGTCAGAAACCAAGTGCCTTTGTAATCATTGGCAATAAAGTTTCCTCCTGCCAGTTGCATATCCACAGGCTCAGGACGACGTCCACAATACTGTCTGTTTGTGAGACTTGTATTGAATACTTGTTCACATTCCCCTTCAGGAAGGTAGGAGACTTCCAACTCCACTAGTGAATCTCTCACCTCACTTTGTTCCAGTTTCCAGCCACAGACAGTGCCTGCCAAATGCGGAATCAAAACATGTTCTGCAAAGTCTTTGTCAGGAAGACATATAGGACGCTGGTAGTTGTTGCACTCAATGTGCTCTCGCAGTTGTAATAATGCAAGGTTATTCTCGCCAGTAGCTTCGTCATACCGCATATGTATGTGTTTCTCATTCACATCCATTACCTGTCCAGCTCCATGCATCCTGTTATTCCCTGTGAAATTATGACATGTTCACTGCTCTCTGAAACAGTTTTAGCATCTGTCACCAAAGTTGAACACAGGTTAACTGCTAAGGGTGTGTCTAGATTACAGGGTTTTGTCGACAAAAGTGGACTTTTGTTGACAAAACTATATCTGCGTCTACACTACCACCACGTTCTGTCGACAGTAAGTTGACAGAACGCAGCAGTTTTGTCGACGGCGGTAAACCTTATTCTATGAGGAAAGACAGTTCTGTCGACAAAAGGCGCTGTTGCATCCACACTGCTTTTTCGAGAGTGTGTCTACGCGGCTTGCTTTTTTTGACAGAACTGGTTGTAGTCTAGATGCTCTTTTTCGACAGTGGCTTTGTCGACAGTATCTGTTGACAAAAAGCATTATGGTCAAATATGGTTTGGGATAAAGCCAGAGACACCAATAGAAGATATTGATTTTATAGCAAGTAAGCAAATTGGATTATTATACAAATTAATATGTTGAAGGGGCTTTTTAACTTTTTGGAAGCCTATAGGTGCACGAATAGGAAGAAACTATAATTTCAGGATGACAAAGTAAAATATACAACAAAAATGGGAGTGAATGATCGTGAATGGACATTGTCACATTGTTCCCTTTAAGTAAAATATTTTAAATGCAGACTGATTCCTAGGATAGACAGAATGTTATGACATGGCAATTTTTATGTGTAAACTCTTTGTTAATTTTTTTGTCAATTTTTTTGTGTTGTCAAAACATACTTTCAAACTGGGGAAAAAAGCTTGATCACCTACCCGTCCTAACCCTGATATCAGAATGATTGTGCACAAGGGCGCACTCAGCTGTAGTCAACACAAAGTTACTCTTCATCAGAACGCCTCCACAGAATCCCTTTCCTTCTGCATCTAGCAACAGAACCTTTAAAACAAAAGCCAGTAAATTCTACTGCTGTCTTACAACTTTGTAGCATGAGGGGATAGCAAAATATTGAACTATTACAAGCAGCGAAATTTGTAATTATTTTTAAAATGAAATGTTCCCATTCTGTCCTGATCCTATTCCTAAACCTCCCAGTGATTTAAATGGGAGTTGGATAGAGCCTATTAATTGTTGTATTTGCAAAGAAATCTATAGGGTTGTAATAGTGAAGGGAGTACTTAGCACTAAATATCTAATATTATACAGGTTGAATCTCTCTAGTCCGGAACCCACGGAACTTGATCAGTTCTGAATAGGGATGTAATAGTGTAGTCAATTAATAGATAAGCAAAAGCTCTTATAGGTTAATGCTACAGACTACACACATTTCCCCCTTTCCGCCAAAAGTACATTTTTTAGCAGGCTGGCCAGCAACCCAGCTCAGTTCTGGCTTGTGTTGGGTCCAGGACCTATCCCCATTGTGGCTTTACATTCAAAGTTTATTAGAAGCCTGGCGGACAGACATCCGAGCTCAGTTCTGGCTCGTGCTAGGTCCAGGAGTTCAATGCCCCCCTTCTCTGCCCCAGGTAGGGGGCTGGTTTTTAAACTGGCTCCCTTTGTGGGCCAGCTCTCGCCTGGCACCCTGCACTGCTGCCTCTGATATGGAGGCAGCAGCAGAGTGACAAGGGACTCCTCGGGAGTGGGGCTGGAGTGCACTGGCTGTTTGGCCTCACCCCTTGGGACTATAGAATAGTCAAGTTTTGGCCTCACCCCTGGGGACTATAGAATAGTCAAGTAACTGATAAGAATTCATTAGGTTAATCGACCTGAAATAACCAATATTTAACATCATTAGTTCTGAACAAGAGAATTTTTTGGACCACAGGAGGGCAATATTGATTAATATTGCTAACAATTCCACTGCTTACTGGGCTGTTCGAGGACAGTTAGGGATAAATTAGAGCTAAATAACAGCACAGAACACAGAGAGCCAGGACTGATGGCTATAAACAAACTGAGACTGTGGGAAACTTGGCCACACCCATGAAAAGTGTTCAGAAGCTTCAGAGGGGTAGCCGAGTTAGTCTGTAACTGGAAAAACTTAAAAAACAACAAATAGTCTAGCAGCACCTTAAAGACTAACGAAACATGTAGACGGTATCATGAGCTTTCATTTGAAGAAGTGGGTTGTACCCACGAAAGCTCATGATACTGTCTACATGTTTTGCTAGTCTTTAAGGTTGCTGCCAGGCTATTCATTGTTTTTCCATGGAAAGTGGCATCCAACTAATTAAAATCATTCCGGATGACAGATGTTTCTGGATGAGCGAGTTCTGGATTAGAGAAGTTCAACCTGTACCATATAACACTTCAGAAGGGGCTCCCATTACATAAGCACTGAGTTATAGGACTTGCAAATTATATTAGAAAATGTGGTAAAATCCTTCTATGTTAATAAATGAACTAGAAAGTTTATTCCAGTGAGAATAATTTCCACATGCCTTACGTACCCCTAAGCACAGCATTTTCAGTGTCTCCCCTGCTTACAAGTGACCTAGGTGTTGTGCATAGTTTTAGAGAGGTAAGGTGCCATTAGAATTCTGCTGCCCATGTCATGTGCCTACTATGCCTAACTGGAAATCTGGTCCTGCTAAAGCAGTGGCCACCAACCAGTAGATTGGGTTCTACTGATCTTGGAGCCTCTGACAGGTGATCGTGACTGGTTTAGCCAAAAGGCTATCAAGTGCCAGCACTTCAGCTCCTGTCTCCCCCCTGCCCCCCTCCCGGACATCTCCTGCCCTTTGCCTTGGAGCTGCCCCTCCTCCTGGGAAGCCTCCTGCTTTCTGGGCAGGGCAAGGAGAGAAAGGAGGTGGTGCTGATATCAAGGTGCCTCCTCCCATTCTGTATCCTTTCTCCACAAAGCGCAGAGGGGCACAACAGGACTTGGGATGGAGATTGCTGGCTGCTTTTGGGACTGGTGCAGGGCCAGGACAGGGGTGAGTCTGCCTTAGTCCCACTGCACCACCAACCAGGAGCCACCTGAGGTAAGCAGTGCCCCGTCAGAGCCCACATCCTGAAACCCTATCCCAATCAAGACCCCTTTCCTGGTCCCCAAGTCCTATCCCTAGCACCCGTGCATCCCAACTGCCTGCTCCAAGCTCAGCTCAGAGCCCCTCTCACACTCCAGATCTCTTAATCCAAGACCAGAGCCTGCACCCCAAATCTCTGCCCCAGCCTGGTGAAAGTGAGTGAGGATGGGCAAGAGAGAGAGGTTGAAGTTAGCAGGTGCAAGGTCTCAGAGAAGGGGCAAGGATATTTATATATGTGGTAGATCTCAGAATGCACTTAAGTTCAAAAAGTGATCTCATGCTGAAAAAGGTTGGAGACTCCTGTGCTAACGAGTGGGGCTGTTGAAGCAGTGGTGCAAGGAATGAGATGCTGCCAAAAGTAATTTTATAAATTGTAACATTTAAATGTTTTTATTTTTCAAGGAGGTTTTGATGGTGTTGCTATTTTCTATCATCACTTTTTTGCTGTTTATCTGACCTCTTGTTTAGTTAAATAAAAAAAGGTTCTAAGTACTCAGATATGTTGCATCTGAGTACACCGTTTTACCATAGATTTTCTTTATAACAACAGTATTTCCAAGATCTCTGTATTTACCTGCCAAGGGAATCCTCTTTGGAAAGTCATAACTTCCTTCATCTTCAGTATTTTACCATCATCACGTCTGCCACATGCACACTGATCTAGCAATGGTTACAAGAAAAAGACAGTTATGTCATACACAAGGTTTTTGTGGTGATGTTTGAAAATAACCACTACCTAGCAAATATTGTGGTAGTCCCACATTAACAGCTCATGATCAGTGATTCTTTGCTTCCCTCACTAATCCCCCAAAATGAAGGGCTAGATCACCAGTATCTAGTAGCTTGCTAATGGCTTTGGAAGACCAATGGTTTATTCATGGTTTGCTTCTTTCATAAATTTCCATTGCAACAAGTGCTTGATGTTTACATTAAACAAAACCCAGTCCTTGGTCTGAAACTTTTCAGTTTTTGAGCTCTTGGGAATAAGGGTCTGTTCTGGCTGGACAAAATAATACGCTTGCCCCCAAACCTTCTGCCTGAGGCACCCCCCCACCTCTTGACGTCAGAGCCCTGTCCCCCTGCAGCAGCCCTAAGTTACCCCTACAGAAGCCTCAAGCTCCCCTGTGGCTGGAGCCTCACCCCACAATGGCTGGTGTCTCAGCCATGCTGCACCTCTCCTCCTGAGACCCCAAACCAGACGTGGGAAAAGCTATTCACTTCCCAAAGAACCTGAGTTTTTTATATGCCCCATGCAGGTTCCAGGGCATCTGAGGGGGCAGGATGTGCTACTCAGCTTCCTGGGTTCCTTAGTAATCTCCCTGGTCTGCCCTCTGAGTTCCAGGGAGATTACTAACGAACTCAGGAATCTGAATAGTACAAACCACTTCCTCAGCCACCCTGGAACCTGCATTGGGCATCATAATAAGCAAAACCTTCCCCATGCAAACCTTGAAACCAGCATCCACTGTCTGCAGCTGCACTAGGGAAGCCACTGCCTATGGTGCTCAACTGCCTTTGTGACACTGTCTCTTCCCCCCATGCTGGGCCCAGCAAAGCCCTCTTTGAGTAGGCCAGAGTCTTCTCCCCACTGTAGTGGGGAACAGAGTGCTAGGACTTTTCCCCCTTGATACCTGGCCTTCCTACTCTGAGTGTGAAGATGGTCCGTCTGTGCACAGAAGTCAGAGGTTAGAGCACTGATCTAGAGTGTGTCTACCCAGCAGGGCTTAACTCAAAATAAGCTACGCAAATTGAGCTACGTCAATTGCATATCTTATTTCAAAATAGCTTATTTTGAAATAGGGACCGTTCACACAGCACTCATTTCAAAATAGCTGACTCCTCTTTCGACTTCCCTTACTCCTCGTACAATGAAGTTTACAGGAGTTGGAGTAAGTAGTCCTCCAGCTTGACAGTATTTTGACACTATTTCAAAATAACTGCCTGCTGTGCAGATGCGAACTAAGTTATTTCGGAATAGTAGTGGATATTTTGAAATAGTGTTTCAGTGTAGACATTAGACAGCATGTCAGCATGGGCCTGCAATGGAAAACAATCTGGGCAAATCAAAATTAGCCTAATTTTCTAAGAAAAGGTAATCTTTCCAAACTCTACCTTCTTTTTCAAAACTGCCATAAATTGCTAAAACAAGAACTCAAATGTCCAATTGCAAACCCAGACTAGTGATGTAGAAGGATCCATGCTGCTCTCACAGCTAATCAATGCATAGACATGTGCTACCCTGGCTGTAGGAGGGAGAGCTGCTTGCCTGGTAGAAGAAGTGTTGGTATCCCTAGTTTTCTGTTGCCACTCCTGGCAGCAACCCCCCCCCCAAAAAAAAAGAGGCAAAATAAAAAGAATGGGCCTGATTCTCTTCCACCACCTGTGCTAAAGGTGTAACTCAATTGACTTTGGAGGAACCACTATTTACAGTGGAAATACTTGGAAAACTGGAGCCAGTGAATGAATTTTAGGATTTGCATTGCTCTGAAGCTGTGTTAGCTCAAACTTGTGTTTGTTTTACTCCTAGAATGTCATTACTAAAGCTCTCAGGACACCTCCTCTTTGCTCATTCCAGTGGTGTCAGTGCAGTCATGCTAGCACCTATTGGTTTGGTTCCCCCAGCCAGCCTACTCTGGGACTCAGCATGTTCTCTTCTGACTTGCTATACTTACCTCTTGGAATGCATGATTTTTTATCTTCTCCCAATTCATAGCCTTTTGCACATGAGCAGTGGTAGGACTCAGATCCTGGATAGCAGAAGTGTTGACACCCCTCTCTAGTTTTGTACTGACATTCATTTTTAGCTAAAGAGAATAATAAAAGCAAAGCACTAAGAAACAATAATTGAGCAATGAATTGAAATTTTCTTGCACAGCATGGGGTCTGTTTTGCTAAGCAATGGACATTTGCTTGTTTTTCATGCTCTTCTAAGCTCATCTTTTAAGCAATTTTTGCTACTACCTCTTTTTAACTTGTAGGTCTGATTACGAGATGTACTGAGCTCTGGCAACTCCTGGCAAGTCAATGTAAAGTAAGTTGCTCCATATGCCTCCAGATTAGGTTGGATATATTTCAGGATTGCATTTGTAGGGTGTACTTAGCCAAGTTACACTAGCTCTTCTCCACATGGAAAATGCCATGACACATTTGCATGTATGTGCACTGCCAGGTGTCTTTGAAAGAAGAGAATAATTGTACATTTTATGGAGGCAAGAATTGCTTAACAGACAAAGGACTAAAGTTGTATAGTTTGTAGGAACTCCTCCCCCACTAAAGTTGTATAGTTTGTAAGAACTCCTCCCCCACTTAAGTTGAAATTTTTTAATAATGAATATAAAAGAGAACAAGAAACCCAAAGGCACTTATTGCCTCTGAAACAGTGCCAGTCTCTCCAGCTTACCATAGCTGGGGCAACACTTGAGATTTACTTTGGTTTGCAATGTTAAAACTAATGGGCAGAGCTCCAGAATGGGACATTTGGTACCTGACACAGCTATGAGGTGGTACCAAAGCTGGCTTAAAGCCATTTTTATGGTTCTGAGAGGCTTGGGGCTGTGCAAGTCCAGCTCCAAGAGCTATGCTAAGCAATGTTCCCTCTATTTTTTTTCCATCCATGGGCGAAACACATTTTTGTGTGCACTGCACATGCACAAATGTGCACCACCAGTAGAAACAGAGTGCTGTAGGCACTCTGCTAATCAGCTGGGCAGCATTTGAATTTCTCATGGGTAGTGCCCCTCCCCCATCTAGCACACAGTCCCAGTATTCCCTATAAGCTAAGTTGTGTCAATGCCATTGGTCCCCAAAGAGCTATTCCACTGTACCCACTGCTCCTTTTCCCTGCTATACCACTTATGCCAGAAGGGCTACATTGGCACACCGCACCCAGGGATTCCTCCATAGCAGGGAAATCCCCCAGATAATCAGTTAAAATGGTTTTAAAACTGGTGGAGTAGCACTAAGCAGCGGATTCAAGGACCTGGCCCAATGTGTCTTTAAATGCGTTGCGTTTTGCTATGCTTTTCCAGTTAGATTTATATCCATTCACATTCTAAAGCAGATCAAAAAAGGGGTAAGCTTTGTGGTCAGTTTGTAAGTGTAAAGGACTTTCTATACAGAGAATTGTTAAAAAATAGTCAGGTCCATGTGAATGAGATTGCTTGTGTCCCCCAAATTGTGATGTCAATAAAAAGGTAAATAGTAACATGTGACTTATCAAGGATGTATTCGTGTTCTGAGCAATTTGCTCAAGAACATTTTATAAAATGCAGAGAAGACTTAAGAAGAGCACAAGTACTATTTATATTCTCTTTATGCATCCAACAGCAATGCATCATACGTGGAAAATGGGGATTCAACAAAACATTTTCTTAAAGCATCAAATTTTTGTAAATTATTAGCCTGTTCACACTGGAAGAGGCCTTACTTCCTATGGTTCCTTACAATCATAGTTTCCCTCTTGCAGCTACAGCAATTGTATACATGGAGAAGTAATACTAGGAACATATTTAAGATCATTTCATATTCTTTAATGCAATTTAGCATCTTGGAAACAGGAGCAGAGTGTGTACCGGGTGACCAGCTAACAAGTGATCTGCAGGCCATGCTTTGAGAACCTGTAGATGATGAGCAGAGGGCCAACCACACAGAGGCCCTGTTTGTCTTGGTTTCAGGCTCTCAATTCTGCTTCCAACATGGCTTCATTGGTGCCATGTTGCCAGGGTTTCTTGTGCCCTTTACTGCATCTGCAATCTCCCTGGAGTAGAATGAAGGTAGCAGGGGGCACAGCAGTTAATGCAGCCTCACAATCTATTAACATTTTCACAGATTTACCCCAGGTTGTTGAGATGAAAAAATCATATCCCCTCTTCCCATGTGTCACTGTCATGCCTCCTACACAAGGAATCATATGTTTTAACATAAAACAATATAAACCATCTGCATGAGACCCATATAATTTCCACTATATCCAGTAGAGGAAATGTCTTACCAAAATTACAGTTCTCGCCTTCATAGCCATCCGTGCAGGTGCATGTGTAGCTGCGAATGCTGTCCTGACACGCCCCATTGTGCTGGCATGGGTTTGAGGAGCACTGTCTGCCATCTGAACAAATGTTACATCAGTAAGAGTAATAGGAGACGTCAACAGGGACAAATGCCTATTAATAACGGAGTTTCTTCCCAGCAACAAACTCTTACCGGCACATCTGTGCTGGTCACAAATCATCCCTCCTCACTCCTCGGATGGGCCCAAGTGTGCTCCCAGGTATGCTCTGGGAGTGCCCTGCCATCAGCACTCTGGAGTGTGAGTGTCAGAGTGTGTGTGTGTGTGTGTGTGTGTGAGAGAGAGAGAGAGAGAGAGAGAGAGAACGAGCAAACAGAACTGGTTCAAGTTCCCACCTATGGAGATACAGTGTGGGTGCTGTTCCGAGTACTGCCTGCTCCCCCTTGGCAGCAACACCTACATCTGCGGGGTTGGGGTGGACCCCTAGTACAACTCTGGCTCCTCTTGAGAGAATAAGGATTCTTACTGTTGCTCCTGGAGGAAAGAAGCAGCTCCTTGCCACTCCTATTGCAAGTAGGGAACAGGACAAGTGAGAGAGTGCTGGATGAATGGAGACACGCAAGACTCCAATGTTGTGAAGTGCCCAGAGCCCCAGATTACCTTAGTCCAGATTTGCATGAGAGAGAGCAATACAAGAAAAACATCATTTAATGTCATTGCATCTAGCCAAGTATTCTAACACTTTTATTTACAGTTCTGACTACTAATTGTTTCTCAGATGGCATGCTTTTAAGGATTCCACACCTGCATTTTTTATTCCTAACCTCTCCTTCCACTTGACCACATGCTTGATAAAAAGCAGTAGGCTAATTAAAATAATGAGCAAGTGGAATAAACTATGAGGCTACGTCTAGACTGGCTTGATTTTCCGCAAATGCTTTTAACGGAAAAATTTTCCATTAAAAGCATTTACGGAAAAGAGCGTCTAGATTGGCATGGACGCTTTTCCGCAAAAGCACTTTTTGCGGAAAAGCGTCCGTGCCATTCTAGACGCGCTTTTCCGCAAAAAAGCCCCGATCGCCATTTTCGCGATCGGGGCTTTTTTGCGCAAAACAAATCTGAGCTGTCTACACTGGCCCTTTTGCGCAAAGCTTTTGCGCAAAAGGACTTTTGCCTGAACGGGAGCAGCATAGTATTTCCGCAAGAAGCACTGATTTCAGACAGTAGGAAGTCAGTGTTCTTGCGGAAATTCAAGCAGCCAGTGTAGACAGCTGGCAAGTTTTTCCGCAAAAGCACACGCTTTTGCGGAAAAACTTGCCAGTCTAGACGCATCCTGAGAGTCTCTGTTAAATACCATAATTCTAACTGGAATGCTCTCTTCATAAACTCATTCTGGAAAGAGAGATTGAACAGTCAACTTACTGAAATAGCCAGCCCAAAACGTGTCCTGAAAAAAAAAATCCTTGTTACAACTCTTGTCTAATACCTTTTCCCACAATTACTTTGTCATAAGAATGTACAAGTGAACAAATCTTACATTCTATACTTAAGAAGTTAAACACAATCTGGTCCTAGTTCTATACAGGCAGTCCCCGGGTTACGTACAAGATAGGGACTGTAGGTTTGTTCTTAAGTTGAATCTGTATGTAAGTCGGAACTGGCATCCAGATTCAGCCGCTGCTGAAACTGACCGCCAGTTCTGACTTACATACAGATTCAACTTAAGAACCCCAAGCGTCCCCAAGTCAGCTGCTG